GCCTCCGTCGCAAGGCCAGGGACACGGCCACACGGCCACCCCTCCAAGCGGAGCGAGAGGCGCACTACCCTACACTGACCCACGCCCCAGGCCCTGCGAAGGCAGAGGGACAGGAACAAAGAAGGGGAGGTTAATGCTCGGCTACCCACAGCTGTGGGATGCTGGCGTCTTTGTGTCACCCCACACTCCTGCAGAGCGCCAAACTGCAAAATAATAGAACCAAAGTTATTCTCTCCAATCAAAGGCCTGGAGGAATAAATCGGGAGTGGAGACCTGTCGAGGCAAAGGGTTAGAGAAAGCAAGTCTTGGCGGTGCACAGGCGTCCAAAGCATCCCGCTCGGCCAGGGTGGAGTCCTGCATGGGGCTGGGGACAGGACAGAGGTGAGGAGGAGGCAGGCAGAGCGGGCAGGGGGCAGCAGGGCCAACGGCAGCACCTTGGGCGGGGGGAGTCCTGTCCCGTCCTGTCCAGTGTGCAGAGGGGAGGGTTGGCCAGGAAAGAGGAGCAGAGAAGGGAGCCCCGCTCCCTGAGGAACAGCCCACGGCAGAACAGCGGCAGCCAGAGGAGAGAGACACAGCCAAAGCAAGAACAAGCTCCAGAAGGAAAGGGATCAGACTGCGCTGTCACTGCTGCACCTGCAAATAAGTGGAATTAAAGCCTGGGAGTTAAAATCTCACAAGAGGAAAAGCATTCTGGATCCCACGCCTGAAAAGCAAAGCACAATTATAAAAACAGGTGCCTATTCTGCTCCTCAGCTGACAGCATCACTGGGTGTATACATGTTATTTTTAAATACTCTATATGCTAAGAAAATAGCGTAAAATGCAGAAGTTCAAGTAGTCTTTTAAAATCAGCTCCCACTACATCTGACCTTAAAATAAAAATTAGTTTAGGAGAAAATCATATAAAAACAGTCAAGAGGAACCTGTCTGAGCACACTAATCTGCCACACGGAGTGGCGGGCCCAGGGCCTGTCTGCTCGCCCAGTCTACGGGACACGTCTTCCTCAAGGGCCTGCTCTGTCCTCAAACCCTTTACCAACATGAAGACCTCTTGTTTTATCTGCCAGTAGAAAAGGAAAAGCAAGAACTTGGCAAGCTTCTCACCGCAAGCAGCTGTCCGGGAAGCCCCCGCCTTGCTTAAAAGTCTCCTACAGAACATGACAGAGTCAAGAGTGTGAGCGACAGTCTCTAGAGAAACGGCACAGAAGTGTGACCGCGTGCCCCCAGAAAGGGGCACACCTGCGGATCCAATATGAATCATGGGTTGCTTTCACTCTGGTACACAAAACCATGGGCTCATGTACCTAAGACCTTCGGCATTTTCAATGATAAGAACTAAACAGGTTGCAAAAACACCTTACATAAAAATCCTTAGGATTTAGTATTAAATCAAGGCTAAATGCCTTTGCAGAGTTCATAGTTAAGAATGTCAAAGTAACACTTTATTTACAGAATTTAAGACAGCTGCAAACATAAGCTGAGCCGCTCACTAAGCACAGTGTGCACAGTCCCCGCAGCTGACCTGAGCTCCTGCAGCACCCATCCCGGGGAGACCCCAGCCTCTCCTGCGCGCCCTACTCCCTGCCCTCTCAGAGCAGCTCCTCACAGCCTCCAACAGCCAGTGCTGTGCCTACAGTCTGCCTCCCACCCCAGGCCGGTGAGGCGAGGAGCGGCCACAGGGCCTGGAGGAGATGTGGCCTGGTGTGTCTAACAGTGGCTGTGTGTGGACTGAGCCCTAAGGTAGGAAAGGAAACAGGGGCTCCTGTAAGGGCGGTGGCCACACAGTGGGACCCAAGCCACTGTAAGAACCCCACAAATGTCTTCACCCCTGGGCATTCTGTCTCCAGCAAGAGGACAGAGAACCTCCATGAGCTCCAGGATGACCCAGAGCAACAGCCAGCCACTGCACAGTGCTCCAGGGGCTTAGACAATCACATCACTGGGGCCTGCCTAACTAGCGTCTGTCCAGCAGCCTCTGAGCTGAGTCTACCTTCCCGACAAAACCAGAGAGAAATAAAAGGCAAAAACAAAAAGAAAAAACAAAAGCCAAAAGAAAAATGGGATAGGCTCTTAACCCCAGTCCTTGGAGAAAGGTCCGTTTGCCTAACCTGTGTCACCTGTCCCTGCAAAAGGAGTCCCCCTCTTGGCCACTGTCCCTGACTCTCTCCCTGCCCTCCCCTCCAGCTCCTTGGCAGCCTCAGGCAGAAGGCTGGGCACAGGTCCTACACGCCACGACTCAGCAAAGCTCCTGAGGGGAACTCGAGCAGCCGTTCTCGGAGGACCGTTACACAGCACGGTAAGAACAGAAGATGCTGACCACTAAAGCACCTCCCCCTCCCAGCCCATCCCCTCTCCGGTGAGGCTGAAGTGGGGGTGCAGGGCCCACACAGGAAGTTGCCTCTCCAGGACACCAGGCAAGTGCCACAGTTCTTTCAGCAAGAAAAGAAGAGATCTGTTCTCAAGAACACCGGCATAGGGTTTAGCACATGTGGCCAGGCCAAGGTATGCAAAGCTACGTCCAGGTCAGCAGCTGGGTGAACTTACATTACAGACAAAGTAAACAATGCCAAAGGAAGAGAAGTTACTGGGCTACATATGATCACCTGCTGGTTCACCTCCTGAGACCTGCTCACATTTACTGCCTTCATGTTTCTTGGATTTGTGAACAAATAATACACAGATGAGGATAAATGAATTGACTTACTACCATCTTTATAAAAATCGAATGTACACACAAACACATAAACAATTATGGAAGTGTCTCCATTAAACTCTGATAAGACAACACAAAAGAACTAACAAACAGCTAAGAAGACGCTGCCGGGCAGGCAGCATTCCCAGGAAGGTGTCACTGTAAAAGGTCCATGTGTACACAGTGCGCTAGTGCCCTGCCCCTCACCCTAAATGCATGATAAAGAACAAAGATAATGGTTGCAGCAGATCTTCCCCAGGGCTCAGGTGCATGCGGGGGTCTGACTACCCCACAGGAGTGCACCCAACGATGAAGTAACACTTCTAAGTCCACTTCTTTCCTTTGCTGCGGTTCCTCTGGGGATACTGCATCTGCAGCACTGGCCTGCCCGGGGCTGAGCTGCTCCAGGGCATGACAACTGAGAGGCCGGCTGTGCCTATGCCCACTGCCCTGCCCAGCCCTGCACACGGCCCTGCCGCCTTGCCCTGCCAAGTGTGCAGATGGCTACAGACACAGACACACACATGCTCCTGGGGAGCCCAGTCCTCGGCCAAGGCCAAAGAGGACCTGGGAGGGGTCTGAAGCCCGTCTTGAGCAATGGCACCCAACAGGGTTTGTTCTGTCAACACTAACTTCCATGCTTCAAAGCCTACTGACTTCCAGAGATGAGGTACAGACCTGGGTTTCAAAAGCACAGCAGACTACTTGAGGAGGGGGAACAAAAAAAACCCCAAAACGTTAAACTCATTTTATTGTATCCTAAGTCTTAAACAATAAAACAAGGACCCAGCAAGTCCTACGCGGCCAGGATCTGCCTAAACTGTAGCTTACAGGCTACAGAACTCACTGCTCCAACGCAGCTGAGGACGGCCAGGCAGACTGCGCCCGCACCTGTATGGGTACTCCTGGCACTAACTGGACACAAGCGGCCTGTCACAGCTCTGTGAGGCCAGGCAGAGGCTTCTGAACAGAGGCGGACCCAAAGGGAGGGTCTGCCAGGACATCATGCGAGTGCCACCGTCTCCCAGAACCTGCACAACCACCTGCACTTCCGTGTCCCTTCTAGGCTATGACATCAACTCATCATCAAAGCTACAAAAAGACTTACAGGGCCGGAATGGTCTTCTCCAGTTCTTAGTACTAGTGACTTTATTTGGAAATGTAACATAAAACTACAGCTGAGGAAACCAGAGGCTACAAGTCACTTCCTGTCTCCTAAGCTACCACAGGGCATACCAGAGAGCACCGAGGCCCAAGCTGGTACTCAAAGGCTTGGCCGAGTGACAACGGTCAACCCTGCTAGCAGTAGGACACGAGTCACAGGTGTATATGCAGCTAAAAGTCCAAGCGTGCCCTGGGCGCCTGGTCAAACAGCTCAAACCACTCTGCACTTACACCGCCAGCCAGACTCCTGGCGGAAACGCAGGGAGGCTCTTCCAGTGCGTGCCCAGCAGGACTTCCACAGAGGCTGCTTTGTGAAGAGTGAGTCTCCCCACGGAACCTACCGGGCCACATCCCTGTGAGACAGCCGTCCTCACACACAGGTGTGGGAAACGGCAAGCCGAGCAAGCCCTCGGACCCCTAAAGGATGGTGACACCCCTGCACAAAGGCCTTCAGAGCAAAAGGCAATGAAGCAATGACAGTGCATGTCACGGCATCCGTGACATAAACACTGCACCTGGGGCTGCATTTAAAAAGAAGAAAACCTACACAGGTCCAGTTACCCAACAGCGCCTCAGCCTGCAGGGCAGGAAGCCGGCCCCAGAGCTGCAGGTATCCTGCACCTGCACGCTGAGCCTTCTGGGGAGAGCATGAACAGGTGGGGGTCCACCTGGGAGCCAGGAGTGTGCGGGGGGCACGCTGGAGATGTCTACAAGAAGCAGAATGGCTACTTCCGTTGGCACCAGCCCAACCACCCACTTATACCTGGCTTTTCAGGCTATGCACGTGTCAATTGAGCATCACCCAAGTTTTAACTACGTTTTCACACAGAGTCTTTGAGGGCCGAGGAGACAACTCTGGTGAAGCTTAGTTGAGACACTCCTTTCTAGCCTGCACCGAAGATAAGTGCAACCATTATCAAATATTCTTTGCTAGGAAAAATACTCAGAACCTGGGACATAATGCTCTCTCCTGACTGAGTCACTGTGATCAATCGTACAGCAGGATCATGGAGAACAGGGTCTACATGCATCGTGAACACTTGGAAATAAAGGGAAACGAGAACTGAGTTCTTGTGGACAACGGAATGCGAAGCAACCCAGCACCCATCTCGCTCGCCATGTCCCGTCATCCAGCTCTGAGGAGTGTTCTAGACTGAGGGCCAGAGGGGCTGCGCTCCTGGGGGTCTTCCTATGCGGCAGCTTCCGTGAAGAAATTCCGCATGTATGCAGATGAGGCGAGACCTCCTGCTAGACCTCACTCCACGATCAGGGCCACATTTATGTGGGACAAATCTATCATGTGCCTGTGGAAATTTAAAGAAACAGTCAACACCAGCTTCACACATGGGCAATCAGCTCACCGGGGGAGAACGTGAAGTACCATGGTGAGCCACGGTTAACACTTCTTCCACAGACTGTAGAAGGTGGAGTATGGCTATGGCTCAGGGGCAGGGTGCTTGCTTGCCTAGCACAAGCAGGGCCCTGTGTGCAATCTCTTTCACTACAGAAGAGAAAACAAGAAAGAGAAACGTGCAAGTTTACAGGTAAGATCGGTATGCGAACTCACAAGGGCCGTGCCCAATGACAAGACTGCTGGCACTCTGTCTGCGTCACTGGCACAGCCCCTGCAGGTGGCAACCACCCCACAGAGACCCCCTTCCTCCTGGTCACGCCCACAGGCACACGGGCTACCTGTGGAACTTCTGCTGAAATGCCAGTGCATGCGCTGGTTCCTTGAACTTGGCGATGGCTTTCCGCTGCTGGGGAAGCATCTGCAGGCTCTGGAGGAAGAGAGCAGAAGGACAGCCACATCACTCTGGGCCACACCACGAGCTGCGACGCGGGACTGAGGGCCAGGGTGCTGTGCAGCACAGACACACCGGCCTCCCCTCGTGCCTCCTGGCCAGTGCTGCTCACCGAGCCAGAACCCCCAGCCCAAGCAGCGCTTGCTCCACAGTCCCACGAGCAGAGCGTCTGTCCTGCGAGCCGTGTTCAGGCCTGCCAGCCGTGGCCACGGCACTACCCAGCCACCGCAGGGCTGCTCTCCTCACACCTTCCTGTCAGGTAACTTCTAACTGTGCCAGCTGGAGGTTTGAGCCCCACCAGGTAACTGAGACCAGTTTGTCTCTGAATGAACAAAATGGTCAGGGACGCAACTGGGCCCCTAGCGATGCAAAACCACTACAGGCACGGGGACAGCGCACACCCCGACCCCCGCCTCCCCACCCCGCTGTCAGAAGAAACCGCCGTGAAGTGAGATGGCCGGCAGCCTGCACAGCAGCCACTCCTCACGCCGCCTCTGGGTGAACTGAGGCCTCTCCTACAAACGGGCACCTGGGCTACCTCAGTGTTACAGACTGAGCACAGCTGGCTCTCAGGGGTGAAGTCTCGGGCCAAAAGCAGCGCCGCCAAGGCCAGCAACGCTCCTGCTGCAGTGGCGGGCTGCGGGCTGCAGTGCCCGTGCAGCAGAGATGCCTTGCCGCCGTCTCTGCAACGCGAGCGCATGCCTGGGACGCGTCCCTCTTCTGCTCCCATCGCCTCAGCACGCTCCTGTTACTTTTCTTACTCTACGGCAGCTTGGCAGTACTGCAAGGAGGTCAACACCGAGCTGAGAGCAGCAGTGTCTGCCACATCACTGCCATGCTGGGGAAAATCTCAGATTCCACAGTCTTACAAAGCACAGTTTACATGCAGGCACTAGAACTTTCTATGGTGAAAAGGCTGAAAGCCCAGGGCTCCCTGTCAACGCCACTCGGTGCGGCTGAGTGAACGCTAGGGGGCTCCCTACTCCAGAGCACACGCACTTCCTGCAGCGGGCTCAGAGGCTGCGAGCTGGTCACTCAGCTCCACCCCAGGCCTGCGCTTCCCAGACCACCCTCACATGCTGGCACCCTCTCTAAGGCACTTCCGCAGCCACCAAGTGCTGGCAAAGCTTGCTGTTTTAGTTTTCTTTTTTTTTTAAATAAGGAAAAGTGGCACTCGGAAAATGGGATGCTTGTTGTTAGGACAGGAGTAGCAGCTGCTGGAGTCTGGCGCTCTCCTGGGCCGCAGGGCCAGGACCTTGCGCCTTCTCCCCACCATCCTGACAGAGATGTAGGAATGCTGTCTTGCTCTCTGATTAGGCAACTCACTGTGGCCAACTGCAACACTGCCTTCTCTGTGACTTTAGGTGGCTCCAATCAAACTTTTATAACACAATGATTTTTAACTCTTTACAGAAAATAGCCACCTGGAAGATCATTAAATGGCCAAGATGGTTAGGCCACACAGTAAGACCATCAGGAGGAGCAGCAAGCAGTGCTGGCACTCAATGACACTCAAGAAGATGCATCCCCAGTGGACGAGGCTCAGGGGTCAATATGGGCTTGGACAAACTGCTGGGCTGTCCACGACTGCCAGCCCCACTTACTTTGCATTTCAGAGCAGATGACCCACACGTTAATGCACCTAAAATCCTCTACTGCTGACTCTGTTCCTGAGAATTAATTGCTGTGATGACCAGTTGCTTAGAAACCACCTACCCGTGAACCCTGGCTTTATGCTGCTGACAAATAGCGAAGTGCTCCCTAGCCACATACCTCGGAGACCTGCTCCTATGTGGAGGAAAGGCCGTGCTTCCCGCCCCTCGGAACAAAGGTGGTTCTATGCCAGCCTCACAACGGACACTCGAGAGCTTCCAGCTCACCCTCACTTTTAGGCCTCTCTGGAGCAGAGGAGACCTGACACATGAATTTGTTACCACTGTGGCAGCCCCAATCTGAGAATGTCCCCAGATTCACTTAGGAATGAAGAGATTATAGATTAAAAGAATTTTTTGCTTTTCAAAAACCTACATTTCTCTTAGCTACATTTCCAAAAATCTCCACCTTCAGACCTAGCTCCCGCTTGATGGCAAAGTGTGAGGATGGCAGAGAATGGCCTGCGGCAGAAGGGGCCAAAACAGGACCGACGCCAGGCATCTGCATCCAGGAGCATCTGCAGGCTTGGCACTGAGAACTGACACTCTGTCCATAGTCACTCATTCCCTTGGCAGCCAGCACGGGAGACTCAAACTTTTAAACATTACAATTAGCCAGTTTCAAAACTTAGGAGACACAAATAGCCTACGCTACTGTCCTGTCCGTAAAATCTTAACAGTGTCCCACAGCTGCGAATCTGTGCGGTTGCTTCAGGACTAGCGTTAAGAGGAGGCTAAACACTTTAAGCTTCTAAAAATTATGATAAAAAAACCCAAATGTTTTAAAAGAACAAAAAACATTCAGGGAGGAATGAATGTGCGAGCTATAGGATAACTTGAGGATTTCAAAGGAAAGCTGATTCTGCTGCAGTATTTCTTAAAATTTTAAAGGACAGCCTGAACTCCTCCAAGCATGAGGCAGCGGAGGCTCAGGACTAGGAACACAGCAGACTCTTGACATGACCCAACCGCACTGAGGGCGCCCGGACAGGGCTTCACCCAGGCCCAGAGACGGCAGAGCGCCAGGCTGCCCTGAGCTGCCTACCTGGATGGGTCCCACAGACATCAGCAGGCTCTTCAGCTGGACGTCCGTGGTGGACGAAGACAGCCCCTCCACGGACACCACACAGGGCTGCGGCTTGCATTCCACCACACGCAGGTTCTGCTTGTTGGGCATGAGGCGCCCCCGGCTCATGGGACCCGCCACTCCTCGGCCTCGTCCATGCATGATGGGCTGGAACGACAAAGGGAGTGCATTCTCATGTCCAAGTACAGGCGACCTCTGAGCTACACCCACTAGGGCACAGTGAGCCGCGGGGTTCTGCGCAGTTTTCTATCCTCTCCCCAGGGGTGCTCACACTTCACCAACACAGCAAGCCAAGCAAGACGAGGTATGGATCCGGAGGGAAGTGACAACCCCTGAGTTGACGTCAGGAGACCACACAGGCACTCGATATACTCTTGTGCTACCACTGCAGTGGGGGAGGCACCTGGGGGTAGGGAGTCATAGGCTTGGGGCACGCAGCTGAGGTCAGGGGGTGGACCCCATCCTAGCTGCACAGAGCCCGGACTCCCCCACTCCTCAGTGGGCCCCATGGAGCACAGTCACAATGCACCTGGCAGTTCCAACAAGCCACAGCTCTAGGCACCAACTCACTAGGACAATGTCCACACCAGCCACCCCCCAAATGCACAGGCAGGTTCTGCAGCAGAGCTACATGTCACAGTCATCCAGTAAGACTTACACACACACACACACACACACACACACACAACTGGAACAGGGTAGCTACCACCTTTAATCCCAGCACGACCCTTGGGTCAAAGGCAGGGCCCAAAAGGCATCCTTTCTGCTTTGCTCGTCTTTTTGTTTGTTTTACAGCCAGGAAGATTCAAGACCACAGCTGAGACTTAAAGAGGGCTTTCCGGCACTTTTTCCTGGTTAGGAAACTACAGAGACCATGCGCACTTCAAGTGGGACTGAGCACCAGATGTTCCAGATGCCCCAGAGTGTGACCAGATGGGGGCAGCACAACAGACCCCAGGCCTCCCAGGAAAGGCAGGAAGCAAGCTGGGGTGAGGACAGAAGCTTGCCCCACAGCACAATGGGCACCACGCAGAGAAGGCCAGGAGAAGGCTGTGCTCCCCCAGTGCTCTGCAGAAGGGGATGTGTGCTCACCCCTGGGAAATGCACTGCAGGTCCCGAGTGACAAGGCTGCAGAGCGTTACCAGCGCTCTTCTGCTCCAACTACAGACAGTCATGACACGAACACTGCGGTGCACTTGTGAGCCACGTCTTGCTACAGATCACCACACAAAACCCTCCTGAGCGCTCAGGTAAGAAACACACTGTCCTCTGTTCGGAAGGACAAAGGAGCTCGGTGCTCACATACACCATATACAGGCTGTGCCTCTTCCACGGTCTGTCTGGTCATGGAGCCAGGGACAGAGCTGGACAGGACAATGTGCTAGGGGTTCACTGCCATCTGAATGAGGCAGCACGCACAAACACACCTGAACATCACGCAGCAGTGCACCCTAGGCCTTCCGGAAGCGTCAAAGTAGGTGCTACCCCACACCTCCATCCAGCCTCTCTTGCTCCTCCAGACAGGTGACACTAGCCGCTGTCCCAGGAGAGACCTTGCAGCCTCTGCCTAGAAGCCAACGGGGGACACTTGCGGGGCTCCATGTGGGATGGAGTCAGATGGGCATCAGGTACACCAGGTTTCCCGCCACACACTGAGCTCAGACAGGGAGATATCCCTCAACCCAAGGGCCAAAGGAAGAGTGACAGCACCAGAGGTGTGGCTCTGTCACTTCCTTGGGTCACTCTACCATCACCGGCCTCAGGTTCCCTTCTTGGAACCGAGGTGTTTGACTAGGAACCCTGAGAACAGACAGAACTCTGGCTTTAAGCAGGTAGAGGGTGTCGCCCACATGCAGCTGTACGAGAGTGCAGCGGCTGCAGGCCCCTTGCAGCCACAGTGTGGGGCAGCTTCTGCACAGCGCACTGTTCAGAGGCCCGCAACAGCCTAGCTCTGCGATGTGTGCACTGGCTGGAGCGTCCCAGGTGAGGACAAGATGCCTCACTGGCCAGAGCAGGTACTAACAGGCGCCAGGCAGCGCAGATCAGAGAAACCATCCTCATCAACAGCGAGACACTTCCCACGAGGGAGCAGGCCTCCACGTCTGGGCAGGCAGGGGCAGGCAGTACCTTCTTGGCCTGGTGAATGCCTTGGATGCTTTTGATCCCTGGAGGAACAGCCGAGTGCACGTGGGGGCCCAAGGGGGCGTGCTGGGCCTGCTGAGTGACCCCCTTGGTCAGCGTCACCTTGCGGGCAGGCTGCTGTCTCACTTCTGGAGGCTGAGGAAGCCGCTGGGGCTGGCCCTCGAGGTGGAAAAAGCCGTCGCTCTCTCCTCCCTGCTGAAACCAACAGGCAGCACAGGGTTCAGGGCCGGCCCAACACTCTCTCAGTCTGGGAGCCCAAGGCCTGGGCAGCTGCGAGGTGGGACCCTTGCACCAGATGAGGCCAGACCTGCTACTCCATTAAAACAGTGCAAGGATTTCACACCGGGCAGTGGGCAGGGCAGGGTTTAACAATACTTTTGAAATTTAAACTGTGTGATATCACCTTCAATGTTTCCATTGAAGGTCTGTGATTAAAATACTGCAAGTGCTACTGGTCATGATGGTACATACCAGTAAGCCCAACACTCGGGGAGACTGAGGCAGGGGACTCACAAGTTCAAGCCCAACCTGAGCAACTTCACAAAACAGTGTCTCAAGAAAGAAAGGGTTGGGGATTACTGCTCAAAGAAAGGTCCTGGGTTCAATCCCCAGTGCTAAAGAGAAAGTGTGTGCTGTTTAACTCAGTGGCATATTGCTTAGCTCTAAAAACAGCCGCTACACACACCAACAGCACGCTAATTACAACCAGGAGCAAGGGCCCCAACTCTGTGGCTGCACTGCAGCGCAGGCAAGCAGGAGAAGCCAGCACTGCCGGATGTGCACTTGCTCGCAGCACGTGCAGCAGCTCCCCGCAGGGCCTAGGAGTTGAGAGCCCCGCTGCACTTCCCAGGCCTCAGACCCACTGGCAGAGGGGCCGTGGAAGCCAAGCGCACACCCCAAGCAGGGGACGGCGTGCTCTGCCCCACCCCCACCCGTGGCCAGCTGTGTGGACTGTCCCTGGCTGTGTCTGTCAGCCTCTTCCAAGATCCAGCCAGTGTCCTTTCAAAAGAAGAACAGGGGAGATGGGGATGGAGCTGGAGATAGAAAAATCCGATAGCAAAAATCCTACCCTGCTGAATTATGGAATCTCAACAGAAACAGACATTGCGACTTGAAAAGTTAGACTGTGCTTGAACCCCACAAGCTCCCACCCCCAGCAAGAAGAGAACCAAGTCAGGCACTGCTGTGCAATCTTTCTCACACAGGCCACTGAGCCATGCCAGCAACAGAGGGGGACTTGGTAAGCCAGTGCAGAGCAGCCCTATGTCGTCAGGCCCCTCCCTGCTACCTGGCTGTGGTCTGTCCCGGTCAAAAGCCATGCTGAAACTGAGCTGCGACGCAGCAGTACTAGAGGCACAGAAGTCTAGGAGAGGTGTGAGGGTCAAAAGAGCTCCACCTTCGTGGGAGGGACTGATGCAGTTCTCAGGAGAATGGGCTGGCTATCAAGAGAGGAGGCTGCTGACAGCATCTCTCCCTTTTGTGTGGAAGGAATTTCTAAAATTAGAACCCCAATGCGAAAGAGAGAACAGCAAGAATCAATAAATGTGATTACATCAAATTAAAAAGCTTCTTAAAGAATTAAAAAGCTTGTGCACAGCAAAGAAATCAATTAAGAGAGCAAAGAAACAACCTACACAGTGAGAAAAAAACTTTGTCAGCTGTCCCTCAGACAGGGGACTAATATCCAGAATATACAAAGAACTCCAAAAAAACTGAAATAAAAGACCTAATCAAGAAATGGGCAAGTGAAATGAACAGTTACTTCTCAAAGGAAGAAGTACAAAGATGGTCAATAAACATATGGAAATGTGCTCCTCTCTGGCCTACAGAGAAACACAAACTGAAACGGCGCTAAGGCTCTATCTTATACCGGAAGGAAGGGTCATCATCAAGAAACCGAAAGATACCAACTGTTGGCATAGTTGTGGTGAAAAAGGACCGCTCTTTCCTACATTGCCAGTGGGAATGTAGGCTAGGATGACCAGCATGGAAATCAGCACGGGGATCTCTCAGAGAACTAAAATCAGAAATCCCACATGCCCCCAGCTAGCCTCTTTTCTAGGCACCTTCCCCAAGAGCCAAAGACATCACGCTACAGCAGCACACACGATTTGCAAGGGTTAAATCCTGGAAGCAGCCTAATAACTGAGCCACGAAAACGTGGTGTCTACACACAACGGAATGTAGTATTATCCGGCTACAAAGAAGGACAAACGCATGACATTCTAGGAAAATGGATGCACCTGGAATACACAATGCTGCGTGCAACAAATCAGATACACAAGCATAACAGCCTATCTTGCACGTAACTCAGGCAAAGTACAGAGAGCATAATAAAAGATGGTGGAAGGAAACAAGGAGATAGGTCTCTTGCAAAGGGGAAGGGTCCAAGAGTCTGAGGGGAGGTGAAACAAGACACCACGCTTGGGAACCCAATCACTTCCGCGAATGTACACATCATGCACCGCAAGTGTGATCATCGGAATAAGAGTGAAAACGGGGAAAGGGGATTTAGCAGAGGTGGAAGGGAAGAGGACTAAAATAAAAGAAACTGCATCATGTACACGCACACATTCCCCAAGGTGGCGTACAGACATACACGAAAGGGGAGTGTCTGGCACAAAATGGAACAGGCAGTGGGGCCAGAGTGGAGCGACGTGGCCGCAGCCAGGAAGGCTGACAGCCACCAGATCCCGAGAAGGAAGACCCTTTGCTGCCCTCAAGCCTCTGGAGTCAGCACGGCCTGCCGGCACCTTGGTTTAAGCCCAGGGGTACTGATTCCTGATTTCTGGGCTCTGGACCACTAAGGAGAAAACTTGTTTTTCTCAAGTTCTACCAGGTTTGTGGCAATTACTTTACAGTGGCCATTGAAAGTTAATACATAGACCAAAGTAACTGTCTGAAGCTATTGTTGATTTACTAAAACCAAGTGGTAACTTAAGTTAGAGCTAAACATTAAGTTGCTTTTTAACACAGCATTAAAGCACATCATAAAAAAAATAAGGCACCATTGTATGGCAGCTCTCTAGAGACCAAATACACCTGAATTGTGTGGTAAGCACACGGGATTTATTGCATCAAAAACAGAATTACACTTTTTTAAAAATCCCTCCCAATCATACATAGAAATAAATGGAAAAAAAAAAAACCCTTAAATCCATCAACTCAGAAAAGGTGCACACACCATGACCAAGACTCACTCCCACAATAAAGGTTGGCTTCACACTTCAAGTTAACCAACACACCACAGTATAGGAATGTAGGAATGAAGGACCCGTGACGTCTGCTACTGCCCTGCTGGGGCTGTGTATGACCAACCCAGATGATCTCACAAGATCCTGCGACTCTACGGTGCGTGCTGTAACTGCCTAAATGGGTTGGGCTTCCTGGGAGTTATCCCCTACCTCCAAAAGAAAATGGTCTCTGGCTATTGAGGTATGTGGCTATATCTTTAAATTTTTGTTGGCATGAAAAATTTCAGTAACATGAAACTACAGAGAACTATACAGCTTTTCAAGAAACAAACGTTGAAAAACGTGGCTCTCAGGATATGGCCTTGTGCCTCGGGGGAGAGTGCTGCTCGCGCCATGAGAAGAGCAGGGCCAGGCCTCTCCCTGCCCTTCACAGGCGCTGGCTGGTGAGCCTGCAAGTCACCTCCACTCGAGACAAGGGCACACGTCCCAACCTTGCCACCAGGTGGCCAGGGTTCTCCGGGGGTCGCGATAATCATCAGGAGTGCTGGCATCACATTCCACTTGTCACTGCCTGTGTAATGACAGGAAATGCGCTCGGCCGTTGTTTTCCTCCAGTCCTCCCTGGGAGCTAAGAAGAGCGTCCTCTTTTGTGCATGGAGCAAGCTGAGGCCTTGGGTCACGGCCAAGTGCCAGGTAACCTCCCTGGTTCTAAGGAGACCACGTCCTGGGAGGAAGGGACACTGATGCGCTTTGTAGCTACATTCAGCAAGAACTGAAGCAAAAGGGGTGAGGCGCCATTCAATTAAATCATTCCAATTAGGGTACTAGAATGCTGTGCTTTGAATTTTTCTCAAGATCACAGCAAGCATTCACAGACTGAATATAAATAATTTCATTTTGTAAGAAAAACTGAAAAAATTTCCAATTAAGAGAATAAATATTCTCCCAATGTAGCACAATAAAAGCTAATTCTAGGGGGAAATTTTAAATTCCTAATATTAGGAAATGGTCAACCTACCCATTACTAGGTTGCAACCAAGAAGGTATTTTTATGCCCATACTCATGGAAAGCCACAGGCAAAACTTAAATAAGACTAAGCCAAGGTGAGACTACCCATTACTGACAGGTCTCTCGTAACCTAGACCAGGGGCGGCAAACTCCCAGCACGGGTGTCAGAGGGGGCTGCTTCTATCGCTGGAAGCCCTAAAGGGTTCGCCACCACTGAGCAGACCTACAGCTGCAGCACTAAAAGCCTACAATTGTGCAAACTGGTGATGCATATTTTAAAATGTTACTGATTGAAATCAGGAATTTAAGAAATCTATTCTCTGAACACAAGCAAACCAGTGGCGGTGAGTGGAGAGCACATTATGCTGTGGTCATAAAAAATGAGCCTGCCTCGGGGCCGGGGAGATGGCTCAGTAGAATAAGCGCTTTCCTGGCAAGTGCAAGGGCCTGAGTTCAATCCCTGGTTCCGCAAAAAAAAAGAAAGAAAGAAAGAGCCTGCCTTGAGACCGAGCTTCTCTAGGGCAGCACAGTGCACTCCGCAGCTCCTTACGCAGCAGAACGCTGGGTACCATTTTCTCCACTGTCCCCCACTCTCTCCAAAGCAAGTGGAAGAAGAGAAACTGAGCCTGCCCCAGTGCAGCCTGGGCCCACCTTAGCCCAAATATGTCACTGGGATTTCCATAAATGACTATCTTTAATGAATGCAACAGAACTGTGTCCTTACTGTTTTTCTTTTAAAAAATGTCCGAGAGACACTACCTGAATTAAGTAAGCTTAGGGAACACTTTTTATCAGTTTAATCATACCAAAAATGAGGTTTGTATCCACCAACATGAGCAGGACAAATTTATTTATAACACATGCTTTAAATGTATTGATAACAAAGCCTATTGATGCTGCCAGGCCTCCTTGCACTTCGACAGATCAAATCTTATTTTCACCTAACCCCATGAAGAAGCGGTATCACTGACTTGCATCCGCCAGCGAGC